AGCTAAGTCAGCACATCCCCTATCCGTAAAGTCAATAAAACTCCTCATGAAGGTTCACTTGTCAAATTGTCCGCACACACTTACCTTAGGCTATGACACAAATTGAACGATTGTGTGTGATGAGCTGCTCTTTTATAGCTTCAGTCTCGCTTGCTTGTCCAATGCCAACATTATCGATGCGTTTACATATGCCTTAAGGTAGTCTGTATACTTAACCTAGATTGGCTGCTGTCGCAACCTTAGTTACGACCTGCATAAAACGACTTGTACATAACTTAATACCAACTTACATCTAGCTTATTGCTATGTTTGATCAAGTGCCTACTCAACACGCACCCAGGTACCAAATCGCGTGATTTTTTTCTTAACCTATGCGCAATACTTCGCTTACGCTTATGTGGGTTTATGTGTATTTTCTGTTCATGCGTGTTTATCCATGTTCATATATGTGTGTTTGCGTTTTTGGTATGTGTGATCCTACGCCTTTGTACATTGTTATGCATTTTCTACCTACTCCTAAGCTCGTGTGTGTTTATACAGTTTATGCATTGTCATACGTTCATATGTGCTATACATTTTTTTATACCTAAGTTGTTTATCCCTGTGTGTATGTTTTTGTATGGCCTAACGGGGTTATACATTTTTGTACAATGTTTCTACAGTTTATGCGCTTTTCTATGATCGTATGGGCTTGTACATTTTAAAGCATACAGGTTTTTGCATGTTGCTAGAGTCTATGCGTTTTACATGATCGTGTATGCTTATACATTGTAAAGCATAAGGGTTCTACCTGATTATATGGCCTAACGGCGTTTATACAGTACAGCGAGTGCTTATACATTCTACAGATTTTCTATGGCCTAACGGCGTTTACACAGCAATTTGTAATGTTATTCGTGTTTCTATATTTTTACGCTTTTATCCATAGTGCGTGTGTACATGTATTCTACTGAATTCATACAGATCTTATACCGATTTTATCCTAATGATTTTATGCAGATTTTATACAGTTGTTATCCTAATGATTTTGGTACAGGTTTTATGCAGATTTTATGCTAATGATTTTATAAAAATTTTTTTGTTATCGTTATGATTTTGTACAGCTTTTTATGCCTATTTTATGCTAATGATTTTATACCGATTTTATACAGATTTTATCCTGATGATTTTATACCGATTTGTACAGATTATGTACAGATTTTTATACAGATTATATACGTGTTTTATACTTGTTTTCCTAGTGATCTTATACCGATTTTATGCAGATTCTGTACATGTTTTTACGCTCAAGTGTGCGTTCGTGTATTGTACTGAATTCTACACAGATTTCGTACAGATTCTGCACAAATCTTCTCCTAATGATTTCATTCAAATTTTACACAATTTTTACCCCAATGATTTTATACAGATTTTATACTCGTTCTGTGTGTATTTATACAGTCTTTGTGTCATGTTCATGTTACATAAGTTTTGCCGTTTATACGGTTAACGGTTCCTTACCTTGCGCTAGGGACATAGGCGGATGATCGTGTGCCCTACCCAGATGTATTTAGGTTCTCGCGCAGACGGAGGAAACAAAACGCTTCCTTACAATAAGAACAACATCTACGTATTTGATGAGCCAAAACCGCCGCGCATCGAACGAAGAAACCAACGCATGAATGCGAGAATAATCTAGAGAAAATAAACAGACATAATCCGAAAACAAAATTGTCCTACAAAAATAAAAAGAACGCTAGTAACCTTTTTTTTTCTTTCAGGTTCTGGACGAAACCCAGCCAGCGCCAACATCGCCAGCAACAAACAACGCAAAGGGCAAGTAAAACCAAATGTGTTGCCGTTCCTATGCGACTTTGAAAAATTAGCGAAATTCAACATCGAAAGCATATAAAATCTTATTAAACAGTCTTAAAAAGTCTAAAACAGTCTTAAACACTTCTAAACCCTTCGAAAAACTATCGAAATTCAACGTAAACACCATATAAAACCTTATTAAACAGTCTTAAACAGTCTTATACAATCTTAAACACTTCTAAACACTTCGAAGAGATAGTGCAATTCAGAAAGCACACCCCCACAAAACAAAGCAAAAATTTAAAGAATGAAATTTGAAAAAAATCGATTTATAAATTAAGACGACAGCGCTTTTTTGACCTCAAAAAATCTAGCCTGACTTTTCATATTTAGATTTCAATGCGTGTGATTTATAATTTAAACAAAGTTGACCAACAATTTCCTAAAAAGTTGTCCCGTGTTTTTAAAATAATCAATAAATCAATAATATCTAAGGGTCTTTGATGCATGTATCAAAAAGAAATCGAATAATTTCGAATATTTAAGATTCCATAAACTGTATTTGTTTAACAAGTTATTTTTATTATAAATATCAAATAATATCAAAATATAAAAAAAACAATTTAATAATTTTTTAATAATAACATCGCGGCTGTGAAAACCACGCTCCACATTGGATCCTTCATGTCGCTGCCTTTCAGATATTTGTTCCGTACAGCGAAAACCTGCGATTTCAATACTTGAAAGCGTCTCATACGTCGACTATACGTTGAAGTTTCTGTATAATTTTAATAAACATTAGGTATAAATAATTCAGTAGGTATGGAAAATCAAATAGCTGTTAAAAGACTAAGACTTACAACCCATTTGACATCTTGCAGCTGTGTTTGAACCACCAACGTATGCTTTTAACACCTGATGATTGGTTAGAGCTCGGCGATTTCTGCAAAATTTTCCGCATTCCGGGCATTGACATGGTCCACAAATAGATATTAAAGTTGCATGGTGTATATTGCCGATTTTTTTTCATTGCTTTGAGGATATCAAAAGATCACACGCCAGCTGAGCCGCATTGTCAAATACGCTAGGAACAATAACAGTATAACCATTCAAGGCCAGTGATTTTCTAACTTTCTTTTAAAATACGATGAAACGATCCCACTAATTTAAATCTTTATAGTAAAGATGCTGATTGGTTCCAATGGTTGGCCCCTCGTTCTGTACAGGTTTTATATCCTCTTCTATGCTGCCTCCACCTACTATAAGTTTTTGACGTAAATGCTTTAACTGCTCCTGGGTCAAAAAGACTTGCAATACCTCCGAGATTTGTAAAGCCAGTTCTCTGGTGGTTGAGGTAATTATAGCGTCAATTTCTTTAGGAATCCACGGCGACTCATTAGGCCTGCGACTTAACATTTCCAATAAAGGGCTAATGTTTTTCCTGAGCCAGTTACCGCCTCCGCAGAAACATCTTTGCGTGACAAAAGTAACGGTATAGCAGCAGCCTTTGATTAGAAATATAAAAATTTCCTTTAATATCGCAATGAATTTAGTGTATGTATTAAGGTTACCTGAACAGGTGTCATTAATTCAAATTCCATACTTTCAACAACGTCTATTACGGGCCTAGACAACGGTGGTTTTTCCAATGAGGTCTACTTCTTACGTGACATTTTGTATGCAAACTTAATATCCAAAAAAAACTTAATATATACTAATTTTTATTTTGTAAAGAAATTATCCACGTGTTTCCAAAATCTTTTTTTTCACTTTTTCTTAATAGTTTCTATGTTATTTTAATTATTAGGACGCATATTGATAGCACTCTTAAAATTTTTTCGATATTACAAAATAGAACAATTTTCATTGAATAAAAATGCTTTAAATAATCTCTTTTTTTGTCGGTCAGCTGTTCTCTTCCGAGCAAACATTACATCTGCATACTTTTGGTAAGAGGTAAGAACAAGCAGACGAGTAAAGAAAACAACAAGGAAATTAATGTGCTTATTATGGGCAAGCAACAACAATGTCGTGTATGCAAAGACCCATAAGGGCACCCGCAAATTTAGGTACAGCGATATCATTGCCGAGAAACCGTTTCTCAGCGAAGAAAAAAAAAAGAGAGAGCGAAAGCAACAGAGAGAAACCGCGGCGAACTGGTCGATCGCAAAACGAGGATGAGTAGATGGACATTCATTCGTGAATAATTAGTGAAAGGGTGCGGGTCAAAAAATTAAAAATTTAACACTGAAAACCAATCATAATCGTTCAAATTAGAGACGGAATTTAAATAAACATAAAATTCACGTGCTTTTAAAGTGCAACACACATGACACTAAATTCAGGGTTAAAACAAAAACGTAAGCTCGTCCCTTAATTCTGCCGGTTCTTTATCTAAAAAAATTATTGCTAAGTCCTATATAAAGAATTACCTCAATTTTCAAAACGGTCAAGCTTAAATCGATTCAAAATCGTTTTCTGAAGAAAGAGTGGTCTGAGCCAATTTTATTACTGCATGTGAAGCTGAACTTTCGCTTACTTTTGTCAAATATCAATTTTTTAATTCCCTACCATCACTTTTTAAAAACTTTTTAAAGAAAACATACATATATACGGTATCGGATATGTTGCGGACATATTATCACGTTCCTTGCGGAATAGTGCTATTAATGATATTGTTCTGGACCTCAAAACACGTCAACGCAGCAAGTTACCTCTGACATTAAACCCTGTTCAAATCGGTCCGACAATATCCTCTTGAAGTACCAGAAAGCCAAATTTCTTAACTTAGAAATATGGTTCGAGAAGGCTCGATACAATTAGAAACATCCTGTTCCAAACAGCTTAAGGAAAAGTGCTTTCGCGAAACTAGTCGTTTCTCATCCCAGCTACAACTGTGTCGAACGCCAAAAATTAGTACATGAGTTGAACTAATGAATTCGGACAATACAGCCGCTGAATCTTTACTAGTGATGAACAGAGCATGCGCTGCAATATCTTCATCGTTGCTTCCGAATTTATTCAAATCAAATTTACTGTTTCTCAAAATCGCTATTGGACTAAAAACAATCGACCGAAGACAAAATATATGCCTGCTCGTTTTCTTTCCATTCAAAATCTGCGTCATCGCCCAAATTTTCAACGTACTCTGAAAGCATTCAAACGTTTAAAAGGAAAATAGCAAAGTTTTCGAAGCTATCCAGAATATATACCTCTCACCACGTTACGTATAGATTTCATAGGGGCACTACGTATATTAAGTATTTGAATGACACATTGCTTGATGGCACTCACCTCTAGAATAATGTAATCAATCATTTCCAAACCAAATAAACCGCCACTCAATCGTTTTAAGTATTTATTCTCTACTTCTTTATCTCCACCAATTAGAATCAGCGATTGTTGGTTAATATCACGATCGATTATTTCAAGTTTATCCAAATACTTTAAATTTAATTCCACCAGACGATCAAATTTGTCGTCATCGTTTTCCGTGAATTTGGATAACAGCCTTTGCGGTTGAGAACCCTTACAATTCCTTGACATTGATGCTATCACTGCACATAGGTTATATAACGAATTAGTTATCAGGGCTTTTAAAAGTTTCTCTTCCATTTATTTCGCTTAGAGTCGCTGCGATCAAAGCAACTAGCAGCTCTATTAGTGCGCACAAAATAACGGCGGGTGTTCCACAGGGGTCAGTCCTTGGTCCTCTCCTGTGGAATATAATGTACAACGGCGTCTTTGAACTTAAACTGCCGGGGCAACGATCGTCGGCTTTGCCGATGATATAGCAGTCGTAGTGACTGCAAAACACGTCGCGCAGGTAGAAGCGAGAGCTAACGAGGCTATCGTGAAGGTGAAGTTGTGGCTAGAAGAGATGGGGCTGGAACTAGCAGAGCACAAAACGGAAGCGGTCCTAATAAGCAGCAGGAAAAGCGTGGAAACATGCTGCATATGAGTCGGGCAGCTCACGGTGCGGTCATCTTTTGTCCTGAAATACCTTGGAGTTATGCTTGACCATCAAGTCAACTTTAAGCACCATGTTGAGTACGCGGCTGAGAAAGCTGCCGGCATCCAGGCGTCACTAGCAAGGATCATGCCAAATATTGGAGGCCCGAAATTCACCAGCCGAAGGGTAATAGCCAAGGTGATAACCTCAGTCATAATGTACGGAAGCCCACTTTGGGCCAGTGCACTCAAGGTGAAGGCAGTGTACCGAAAGGTGGAGGCAATATATCGCCTTAGCGCCCTGACGCAGATTTGCGCATTCCGTACCTTGTCGGAAGAGGCAGCGCTAGTGCTAGCTGGCACTCTGCCAGTTGACATTCTGGCCGATGAGATGAGCCGCATCTACAAACGGCGTCGCGGCAACGAGCTCTCCTCGCACGTTATAAGAAGCGAGGAGCGGATGGCGTCGTTAAGGATTTGGCAGTCGAAGTGGGAAAGAACGACCAAACGAAGATGGACGTTCGTTCTTATCCCCAGCATAAGATGATGGGTTGAAAGACGCCACGGCAAAGTAAGCTGTTACCTAACCCAGATTCTGAGTGGCCATGGCTGTTTTCGGAAGTATCTGCACAGATTCGGGCACGACAGCTCGCCTAACTGTCCGACATGCGCAGATACGGAGGAAGATGCGGAGCACGTGATGTTCCACTGCTGCAGATTTGAGAATGCGAGCCCTCGAATGCAGCCGAACGGGATCACGAACGAAATGATCGGCAGTACAGCAGCCTGGATCGCCATAGACGCTTTCGCTAGCACTATTCTCGTGAAGTTACGGCGACTGGAGAGAAAACGGGTGGAGAGCAGAGGGAGTGGAAGCCGATAGTGTATTCCACTGAGGTCCCACCATCAGAAGCGTGCTAGCGACAACCAGCCCTCGCGAAGTAATACCTAACGATGGTCCCGCTGGTAGACGAAGTGTGTGAGGGAGGTAGTTTTTAGTAAGTATGCGTCAGGGATGGCGAATCGTGCATGCTGCTATCTTCATAAGACCCAGCAGTATCTTTTGAAGATTTTCTACCTCCAGCTCAAAGAGCAAAACAAAAAAACATTTCTTCATTACACGCATCTTAATCACCAAACCAAAAAGGATTTATGACCACACTTCAAAGTATCTATAGAGAAAAGTAAAAGACAGACGGAATTTTACAGATAACGCTTGAAGGTAAGTTCACCAACATTTCTATCCTATATAAGCAGAGTTTTCTCTTTACTTATTTTCAAAAATACTAAAACCACCAAACCATTAAAAAGAACAAATAGAAAAAATTAAAAAAAACACACATAAGTGCACTTTTTGCCATGAGACAGTTGGCAATTTACTGGAGCATTACTGCCCAGAATTTGCAAGAGCTTGTCAAATAGGTTTGCAGCAAGCTGATTCTTTGAACGAAGGAAAAATTGGTCACCGGCAAACAAGGCGTAATTTCTGCGGTGTGATTATAACCGAACACGACTTATTCCATACCCATTTATGCAAAGAGTTCGTGGCAGGCTGTGAAACAGCATTTAAAGAAAACCAGCCTCCTACTTCCAGTATGAATGATGGACCGTCCACAAACGGCGGTAAGCGTAAAGCCGTGTTTGGAGAAGAAAGCTCCTGCCAGTGAGGTCTATTGCGAGCCCTGCCAAGTTTTTATGATGCAGACAAAGTACAAAAATCATTTGAGGACCAACAAGCACAAAGAGACGGCAGCTGTGCTCTTAAAATAAAATGTGTTCATCACATCTCCACCGACATCGGAAGATACAATGATACAGTGATACAATATAAAATCGTCAGCGACTCGAGGGATGAGATTGTAATAAACAAATTTTTGAATGATATCCGCACATTTATACACGAGCAAATTCAAATCAAATTAGATGAATTTGGCTCTGTAAAGTTCAACTTGAGGCTTTTTGGAGATTACGTGAAGGGCTTCGAAACTTGAGAAATGGTGATAACACTGAAACACTTCTCAACGAAATTCGTTGCTGCAAGAGAAAACAGTGAAGTTGACGATAAGATTGACGAGCTTTTTATTGAGCTTAAAAGAGCAACCGGAGAATACCAGGAACGAGATAGCGGTTGGGCGATAGCAGAATTTAAATTCTGTGAATTAACCATTTGTAAGTTGGAGTCCATTCCTGTGGATTCACATGTACCATTGCCAATTAGTATATTCACTAAAAAGGCTACAATTAATGCGAAAAATGCTGATGTCTACTGTTGCAAATGGTGCATATTAGCGGGTATCCCTTACAAGTTCGACAAACCGTTGGGAGACGAATTACGCAGATTAGCTCACACGAGCTATTATAAAATCGGAAGTATTCGCGAGATAGTCATTAAATATTGAAATATTCGGATTGACTTTCCTGGACTAAAATTCTCAACCATCTCCCAAATATAACCAACTGCGACATCAATCGGTTTGAGCAGAATAGCAAAGACTTCAGCATAAATACATATGAATTGCTACGTTCCAAGGGTACATGGAAAGTGGTTGGTCCGGCAAGAGCCACAAAGGAACCTAAAAGTTTGCATATCAACTTGCTAACTGTTTATAACGAAACGGCTAAGCAATATCATTATTGTCTTATTACCAACATGCAGAGATTGGTAAAAACTCAATACACGCGAAGTCCTACATCAGGACAGTTTTGTGATTTGTGTCAAACGTTTTACACCATGACTGGAACCCGCCATAAGGAAGATTACACCAAAGTGAAAAGTGTATTTCCATCAGCGGGAACAGTAACCAAATTC